AGGTTATCTTGAGGTTATCTTGGGGTTATCTTGAGGTTATCGTGAGGTTATCTTGAGGTTATCTAGAGGTTATCTTGAGGTTATCTTGAGGTTATCTTGAGGTTATCTTGAGATTATTTCGTGGCTTAGCGTCCCCGCGGCCCGGTCCTCGACCAGGCCTCCACCCCCAGGAAGCAGCCCGTAGCAGCTGTCTAACTCCCAGGTACCTATTTATTGCTAGGTGAACAGGTGCATTAGGATGAAAGAAACTCAACCCTGCGCTGAAGGCTGCCATATTTTCCTGATGATGCAGATACTTCCAGGTCCTCATTCTTCATTTGCTTTATTCATTACCTTACACTGTCTGAGATTGAATTCTAGTAACCATTTGCTTGCCCACTCCTGGAGTTTGTCAAGGTCTTCCTCCACTTGGGATGGACGGTAGAGCGACGGTGTCGCTTCATGCAGGTCGGCGTTCAATCCCCCGACCGTTCACACGTGGTTGGGACACCATTCCTTTCCCTCCGTCCCATCCCAAATCCTGACCCCTTCCCAGTGCTATATAGTCGTAATGGCTTGGCGCTTTTCCTCTGATAATTCCCCCCCCCCCCTTCCCAATCCCACCAGATGGCCCCAAACAAGCTCATTCCCTCGGGAAGGTCGTTGACATGATTAAGAAACTGTTGGGCCTCCCAGGACCCAGCCTTGAGGAGCCCTACAGCTCATAAAATCGTCTTTGACTGTGAGTATCTGTTTCCTGCCCATTAGGTACTCCCTTGACCCCAGTTCCGTCTCGTTCTTGGCGGCTTCTCCGACACATGTCAACCCAACTCTTGACCGTTCCCAACGTCATCAGACTGATGTGCTAAATAGCCCGAACCTTACCTAACCCAGGAGCCACGAAGAGAAAACGGGACATCACGTTAATTTTGCGAACGTTTTGTTGATCTTTGGGACATTTATTCGTCAAATTGTGATGTTTGCAACAGTATTAAATGTTTTTTTTATTTTACACTGAAGTGGTGTGTGTCTCAATGTTGTTTGTGTCTCATTGTTGTTTGTGTCTCATTGTTTGTGTCTCATTGTTTGTGTCTCATTGTTGTGTCTCATTGTTGTTTGTGTCTCATTGTTGGTTTGTGTCTCATTGTTGTTTGTGTCTCATTGTTGTTTGTGTCTCATTGTTTGTTTGTGTCTCATTGTTTGTTTGTGTCTCATTGTTGTTTGTGTCTCATTGTTGTTTGTGTCTCATTGTTGTTTGTGTCTCATTGTTTGTTTGTGTCTCATTGTTTGTTTGTGTCTCATTGTTGTTTGTGTCTCATTGTTGTTTGTGTCTCATTGTTGTTTGTGTCTCATTGTTGTTTGTGTCTCATTGTTGTTTGTGTCTCATTGTTGTTTGTGTCTCATTGTTATTTGTGTCTCAATGTTGTTTGTGTCTCATTGTTGTTTGTGTCTCATTGTTGTTTGTGTCTCATTGTTTGTGTCTCATTGTTGTGTCTCATTGTTGTTTGTGTCTCATTGTTGTTTGTGTCTCATTGTTTGTTTGTGTCTCATTGTTGTTTGTGTCTCATTGTTGTTTGTGTCTCATTGTTTGTTTGTGTCTCATTGTTTGTTTGTGTCTCATTGTTTGTTTGTGTCTCATTGTTGTTTGTGTCTCATTGTTGTTTGTGTCTCATTGTTGTTTGTGTCTCATTGTTGTTTGTGTCTCATTGTTGTTTGTGTCTCATTGTTGGTTGTGTCTCATTGTTGTTTGTGTCTCATTGTTGTTTGTGTCTCATTGTTGTTTGTGTCTCATTGTTGTTTGTGTCTCATTGTTGTTTGTGTCTCATTGTTGTTTGTGTCTCATTGTTGTTTGTGTCTCATTGTTGTTTGTGTCTCATTGTTGTTTGTGTCTCATTGTTGTTTGTGTCTCATTGCTGTTTGTGTCTCATTGCTGTTTGTGTCTCATTGTTGGTTGTGTCTCATTGTTGTGTCTCATTGTTGTTTGTGTCTCATTGATGGTTTTTGTCTCATTGTTGTTTGTGTCTCATTGTTGTGTCTCATTGTTGTGTCTCATTGTTGGTTTGTCTCTCATTGTTGTGTCTCATTGTTTGTGTCTCATTGTTGTGTCTCATTGTTTGTGTCTCATTGTTGTGTCTCGTTGTTTGTTTTCTCATTGTTGGTTGTGTCTCATTGTTGGTTTTGTCTCTCATTGTTGTGTCTCATTGTTTGTGTCTCATTGTTGGTTTTGTCTCATTGTTGTGTCTCATTGTTGTGTCTCATTGTTGTGTCTCATTGTTTGTGTCTCATTGTTGTGTCTCATTGTTTGTGTCTCATTGTTGTGTCTCGTTGTTTGTGTCTCATTGTTGGTTGTGTCTCATTGTTGGTTTGTGTCTCATTGTTGTGTCTCATTGTTGTGTCTCATTGTTTGTGTCTCATTGTTGGTTGTGTCTCATTGTTGGTTTGTCTCTCATTGTTGTGTCTCATTGTTTGTGTCTCATTGTTGGTTTGTGTCTCATTGTTGTGTCTCATTGTTGTGTCTCATTGTTGTGTCTCATTGTTGTGTCTCATTGTTGTGTCTCATTGTTGTGTCTCATTGTTGTGTCTCATTGTTGTGTCTCATTGTTGTGTCTCATTGTTGTGTCTCATTGTTGTGTCTCATTGTTGTGTCTCGTTGTTTGTGTCTCATTGTTGTTTGTGTCTCATTGTTGTTTGTGTCTCATTGTTGTTTGTGTCTCATTGTTTGTTTGTGTCTCATTGTTTGTTTGTGTCTCATTGTTGTTTGTGTCTCATTGTTGTTTGTGTCTCATTGTTGTTTGTGTCTCATTGTTGTTTTGTGTCCTCATTGTTGTTTGTGTCTCATTGTTGTTTGTGTCTCATTGTTATTTGTGTCTCAATGTTGTTTGTGTCTCATTGTTGTTTGTGTCTCATTGTTGTTTGTGTCTCATTGTTTGTGTCTCATTGTTGTGTCTCATTGTTGTTTGTGTCTCATTGTTTGTTTGTGTCTCATTGTTGTTTGTGTCTCATTGTTGTTTGTGTCTCATTGTTGTTTGTGTCTCATTGTTTGTTTGTGTCTCATTGTTTGTTTGTGTCTCATTGTTGTTTTGTGTCTCATTGTTGTTTGTGTCTCATTGTTGTTTGTGTCTCATTGTTGTTTGTGTCTCATTGTTGTTTGTGTCTCATTGTTGTTTTGTGTCTCATTGTTGTTTGTGTCTCATTGTTGTTTGTGTCTCATTGTTGTTTGTGTCTCATTGTTGTTTGTGTCTCATTGTTGTTTGTGTCTCATTGTTGTTTGTGTCTCATTGTTGTTTGTGTCTCATTGTTGTTTGTGTCTCATTGCTGTTTGTGTCTCATTGCTGTTTGTGTCTCATTGTTGGTTGTGTCTCATTGTTGTGTCTCATTGTTGTTTGTGTCTCATTGATGGTTTTTGTCTCATTGTTGTTTGTGTCTCATTGTTGTGTCTCATTGTTGTGTCTCATTGTTGTGTCTCATTGTTGGTTTGTCTCTCATTGTTGTGTCTCATTGTTTGTGTCTCATTGTTGTGTCTCATTGTTTGTGTCTCATTGTTGTGTCTCGTTGTTTGTTTCTCATTGTTGGTTGTGTCTCATTGTTGGTTTGTCTCTCATTGTTGTGTCTCATTGTTTGTGTCTCATTGTTGGTTTGTGTCTCATTGTTGGTTTGTGTCTCATTGTTGTGTCTCATTGTTGTGTCTGATTGTTGTGTCTCATTGTTTGTGTCTCATTGTTGTGTCTCATTGTTTGTGTCTCATTGTTGTGTCTCGTTGTTTGTGTCTCATTGTTGGTTGTGTCTCATTGTTGATTTGTGTCTCATTGTTGTGTCTCATTGTTGTGTCTCATTGTTTGTGTCTCATTGTTGGTTGTGTCTCATTGTTGGTTTGTCTCTCATTGTTGTGTCTCATTGTTTGTGTCTCATTGTTGGTTTGTGTCTCATTGTTGTGTCTCATTGTTGTGTCTCATTGTTGTGTCTCATTGTTGTGTCTCATTGTTGTGTCTCATTGTTGTGTCTCATTGTTGTGTCTCATTGTTGTGTCTCATTGTTGTGTCTCATTGTTGTGTCTCATTGTTGTGTCTCATTGTTGTGTCTCATTGTTGTGTCTCATTGTTGTGTCTCATTGTTGGTTTGTGTCTCATTGTTGTGTCTCACTGTTGTGTCTCATTGTTGTGTCTCATTGTTTGTGTCTCATTGTTGGTTTGTGTCTCATTGTTGTGTCTCATTGTTGTGTCTCATTGTTGTGTCTCATTGTTGTGTCTCATTGTTGTGTCTCATTGTTGTGTCTCACTGTTGTGTCTCATTGTTTGTGTCTCATTGTTGGTTTGTGTCTCATTGTTGTGTCTCATTGTTGTGTCTCATTGTTGTGTCTCATTGTTGTGTCTCATTGTTGTGTCTCATTGTTTGTGTCTCATTGTTGTGTCTCGTTGTTTGTGTCTCATTGTTGGTTGTGTCTCATTGTTGGTTTGTGTCTCATTGTTGTGTCTCATTGTTGTGTCTCATTGTTTGTGTCTCATTGTTGGTTGTGTCTCATTGTTGGTTTGTCTCTCATTGTTGTGTCTCATTGTTTGTGTCTCATTGTTGGTTTGTGTTGTTGTGTCTCATTGTTGTGTCCTCATTGTTTGTGTCTCATTGTTGTGTCTCATTGTTGTGTCTCATTGTTGTGTCTCATTGTTGTGTCTCATTTGTGTCTCACTGTTGTGTCTCATGTTGTGTCCCTCATTGTTGTGTCTCATTGTTGTGTCTCATTGTTGTGT